AGGGGATTTGTTACTACACTGTTCACAAATTAGGGAAAGGAGTTAATCACCTAAACCTCTTAAAGGGGAACCTTACTTGTAATAAATTCTTATTTCTGGGTGCAACTCGATTCGTATCTTACAATATGGATCTCGAATTCAGTAGGAAGCATTTAGTTGGTAACAAACTATACCGTGTTAGTTTTTAGATCTCCTTTTCAGCAACAGCACAGTACATACAAATACTATAAAATACTGTACATTAAAATCAACTCGCCTGTTGTTGTCCCTCGGTGTTTTTCTCCCACGTACTCGCTGAATTCCTTTGATTCCTGTGACAGCAAAAGAAAACGTCACAAATAATCAGCTAGCAAGCAAGTCATATATCTTACTCGTAATGGTTCCCTTATATTAATTTTTGATATTTTGCAACGGTTGTACGGATGGCAAAGTGTTCAGTCTTTACATCTGTTTTTAGGAACTAGCACACTATGCATGATTTAAAATCACCTCACCGTTTGAAGCCTCCTCTTATTTTTGTTCCCATCCAGCTCTGCGTCCTTTTGTACCCTGAAAGACCTGAAATAGTTATGGTTTCGTTAATATAGCTTTGAAGCTAATGTAACAGACCGTTAAACAATCATTGCATAATTATTTTTTAAAAAAAATCATGTTTTCTTGTATGCCCTTAATGGATCTTAGCTTTATACTACAGACAGAATCCTAGAAGGTCTTGGATTCTGGATTCCACTCCTTGGATTCCGGATTCAAGGTACATGTAGTAGATTTCGTATTATTGGTCAGTGGAAATTGGAATCCGGATTCCAATCGTTAATGGATTCCGGATTGCTCTGAAATTCGGGATAACAAACATCATTTTCACTCAGTGGGTATTTCAGTAACTTGTTGCAACGACAGCAAAATTAAAATTTTGCTGTCGTTGCAACAGTTGCACTTTAAATCTCTTTTTATAGCCAGCATAGGATGTATTTTAAAATTCAATTCACCTTTTATTAACTTCCTTTCTTTTTTGCTTTCATCCACGCTTTACTCCTTTGCATCCTTTGAAGCTTTCTTCTTACAAGAATCTGAAATATTTATAGTACAATGGATGTAGTTTGAAATGCCCATATCTTAAAATATAAGCAAATATCGCGAATAATTCCTATCAAAAATCGTATTATCTATCATCATTCGGTATACTTAATGGCTCTCCACATAGATTGCACTGAAAATGTTAGTGATAGTGACTTATTTTGTAAGGTGACTTTATCATTGTCGAGGTAATATTGTAAATCAGGCCCCGGTTGTTCAAACGCTGGATAGCACTATCCATCGGATAAATCTCTATTCAGTGGATAACGCAATTGGTTTCCCTAATACTTATCCACTGGATAGTGATTTATCCGGTGGGTAGTGCTATCCAACTTTTGAACAACCGGGGCCAGGACGACACCCAAAGTTAAAAATTAATCTATGTGTCCTCATTCTAATGAATTTAGTCTTTTACTATGAATACTCCTATTGAAGCATAGATCAACTTAGCAGTTAGGGTGCATGCAATGGGGTGGGGGGGGGGGGGGGAAAAACGGTCTCCACTTTTTTTTTTATAAGGCTGCAGGTTTTAAACCACACCGCTTAAATGGTAAAAAAAAAAAAGTTACCACAACAACAAAGTATTTTTAAAAAAATATGTCTGAGGAGTCAGCCCTCACTAGCATGCACAAGAGGTGGAAGAAAAGTACAAAAAATTTTAAATTTTTTTGTATGTTTATTATTTTATTTATTTTATTGTTTTACCTGGGATCCGTCAGGTGAGGAGGAGGGCCGGGGGAGGGGGGGGGGTGCGGGGGGGGGGGGGGGGGGGGGGGGGTAGAATCGGCTCTACCTTGTTTTTTATATAGCTGACAGGCTTAAGACACCCAGCTGTAAATGGATAAAATAAGTAAGTATCACCAACACAGAGTGTATTTTAAAAAATCTGGCTACCTGTTAATACCTTTCCTTGTTTTTCCCTTCTTTTCCGTCTCCATTCTCTTTGTATTCCTTGACGCGTTTTTCTCTAAAAACATGATCAATTAGTTTTGTTAAAGCAGTATAGAAGCCAGTATAGCAATTCGCCCAACAAATATCATACTTCCTACCTAACTACGTTTACCAGTAGAGATGGAAGAAGTGCGGGTATTTGGAAGGGGGTAGGGTATATTGTTAAAAATTTGAAAGGCATGCACTACTGGGGAATTTGAACGTAGAAAAAAACAAATTATCGTCAAATAAATTTTTGATGTTATAGCAATGGACGTAAATTGTAACCGTTAACACTTGTTTAAAAGGACACTTTGTCCATACTCGTCTCTTTAAATACTTAACTTCGTAACACTTTTTGCAAACTGGTTACTATATCTGTTGCTGATCAGTTCCTAAATCCCTCTTACTTATTTCCTTGATTTGTTGATCGATTTACCGATACCTTGAGAAAATATCTGATCCTGCTTTGAGGGTTAACTGGTTGATATAAAATTGACACTCAGTTGGGTATAAGAATTTAGCATGCTCGTCTGTTTTAATGAACTAACCCCTCTCTCCTTCCAATAACCCATCCTAACCCACCGTCCCCCCTGCAAATAGCCATCCTAGCCTGAGGTCTGAGTAAAAACTCCTGTTATTAGGAAGCTTAAGCAAAAATGTTTTTGAGCGACGCACGTCAAACGGAAGAGGATTTTTTTGCATTCTTGATTAGTGGTTTTGCCCAACGTTTCGGGAAAATCCTCTCCAAAAGAGTAAAGACACTTAGCAATTCAAATTAGTGACGTAAAGGCAAATTAATACGGAAAAGACCCCACTCCAATATTTTCAAGCATAATGAAATCATAAGTAATGACAGAGCCGTTTACCAGGTCTATGGAATAAGTACTCTACATGATAAAAGGCATCAATACCTGAGGAGACCTGACTCATTATAAGCCTCGTGGTTTCTTTCAGGTCTCCTCGCCATTTACTTTTTCTTTAATCTAATTTTATTCAAATCTTGCTTTGTAAAATTTTGTATATATGGCAAACAAAGAATGAATGAATACGCGCGCGAAAACATGTTCCACGCGCGGAATCTCGACACAATCGTTTGCTTGGCAGTTCAAATTCTAACCTCGTTAAACATTTTGAGCTTAAATAGTCGCTTAGTTTTACGTTTTCAATAAAAATAATACATAATTTCTACTTAATCACCTTGTGCGGATGTAGTCCTTTTCGTAAATTCACTAAATTCCCAGCAACAAAGACTTCATTTCAACTTACTTCAAGCTTCCATCTTGCCAATTCTCGGCCAGCAATGACTTCAGAGTTTCAGCGGTTCCAAGGTTCCAATTGCTTCTCATCAGTGAAACGAACAACCGTGAGTATCTTCCAAGGCAAAAGATTTCAAGCAGATATTTTAAACTTAAAGAATATTCATTTCGATGGGCGACCACGCGCTCTTAGTGCCGAAGTGACAATACACATTAGCAATTCAAATAGGGCTAGACGCCCAATTTTTTTTTGAGGTTTTGATCGTTTTTATTTTTATTTTCGTTTCTAGTTGTTTATCCAAACAAAATAATAGTTTTTGCCGTAGATAGCCTCCAAGAAAAATCATGTCGAAGAAGAATGGCAAGAATATTAAACTATTTTATTGATCTCTCTAAGAATCTGAAGATATTGATTCTAGTTTTAACTGTTGAGACAGCAAAATCTTTCGTTCGTAGACATTACTTATGCGCTGATTGGTTTGTTCTTTTAAAAATTCTACGAAACAACATTTGTTTGAGTTGTTTGCTTGGACAGGAAAAGCCGGAAAGATTTTTTAAAATGCGTAGCTTTTGGCTTTTTCCGCGCTAAGCTTTTTTAATTGTTGGAACAGGTTACCCAACCTAATCTAACCCAAATTGTCCCCCCGATAATGTTACATTGTCATGTGACACATGCCGAGATTTCGTCGTCTAAAGTTTATTCCCCGGAAATGACAGCTACAGTTTCTCAACACAGCTGAAGGCCATTTGTCTGCCACGCGAGAATGCAATAGAACTTTTATCACAACCGTGCACTGACAAAAAATTTACAACGGACAAAGGAGGAAAGAGAAACCTTTCCTGAACCAAATGCACTGCTTTCAAACTAACACACATTTTTTTCGAACTGGCAAGGGGCGGTAGGGTGGGGAAAAATGTTGCATTGTATGGTAAGAAACAAAAACTGAATCACGTGATGAGCGTGAAGAACTGATACCCAAAAATGTACCTCGCGCCCAGGTTCCATTCAGTGTAAAAAAACTTGATTTCGTGCCTCTTTCGCAAGCTCAGCAGGCAAGAAAAACAATTGGTTTTTCTTTTCAGTCCGAACCTTCTACTCACTAAAGCGCAGGGGGGATTTCCTTGCGATGCAATTCAGTCCAGTTCCCAAGGTTCTCTACTCTCGCTCCGCTAGAGAGTAGGAGAGAAACCTGGGAACAAGGTTAAGTTCAATCTTTTTTAAAATCGAATCTCGTGACCGAGTTTCTTTAAAGCCACTTTTAAAGTAAATTGTCGTCTTTTCACCGTTAACAAACAGCTGTTTCGTTGCCTTTTCTCCACTCATGTTTTTCGGCGGCCTCTGCAGTCTACATACACATGGCCTCTTGTTGATTTTGCGTGGGAAGTCCTAAACGATAATTGTGGCTGTGAGTAATGAAGCTGTTGTTTGAGAAAAAATACTATTAATAAAAAGCACGGTACAAGGCTAAAATAAAGCCAAATATCCAAAACAATTGTTAAACATAGAACTTTTTATTGCTTTTCAAAACAATGGCATTACATTTCGAAACTAAAACTTAGTGATGTTTGTTTTGTATAGTGGCTCAAGTCTCTTTCTTCCACGCTCGGTGAGGTAGATCTGACGAAGAACACGGCAGGATGGGCTCACAAGTCCATTTGATGATTAAGTTGCAATTCAGCAAACTTGATCATTCTGTGATAATCGTGTTGCTATGGCTACACGCCAATCAGCCTGTGTCATCCTTGGTCTACTGACGAGAAATACGATTCCAACTCGTCATCGTCACTGTCTTGTGTTGCTAAGCGACGTAACGAACGCCGACACAGATCTTGTATGCTCTCTGCTGTGCTGGCATCGAACATACGGCAACACGTCTGAAACAAATCCAACACATTTGTAAGTTTTATTGTAGAGCGGTTTTCACTTGACTGTCGAAAGGGATTGGTTTTGGTTTTGGTTTTGGTTTTACTACACCCTTTGGTTGGCTAGTGTATTTACTTTGGTTTTGGTTTTACGACAGTCAAGTGAAAACCGCTCTAATATCTATTTACAATTAACTCTGAGTTCGACAATGTCGGGATCAGCATCTACCATCGAGAGTGTCTGTCATGTAGAGAGTCAAAGAAAATAACTGAAAAACGACAGGGACCAATTCTAGGTGTTCGTTTTAGGGAGGTCTTAGCCTCATAGAGAATCAAAGAAAATAACTGAAGATCAGCAGAGAGTAACTCAAGGTGTCCAATTTAGGGCGGTGTCCGCCTTATAGAGAAAAAATAAAATAAAAATGATGACAAAGACAATGATAATGAATGATAATAATAATGATAATGATAATGCTAATGAAAAGGATAATTACAATGACAATGATAATGATAATGATAATGATAATGATAATGATAATTACAATGACAATGACAGTGATAATGATAATTACAATGACAATGATAGTGATAATGATAATGATAATGATAATTACAATGACAATGACAGTGATAATGATAATGATAATGATAATTACAATGATAATGATAATGATAATGATAATGATAATGATAACAATAATAATAATAATAATGGTTCGATTCTCGTAAGCGGTCACCTCCAGCAAGCGACCTCAAAATTTTCTTACATTGGCTGGTCACTTATGGGAGGTTTAACTGTAACTGCAACTGTTTTCAATTGTGATTGTACCTTTTTACTATCAAACATTAGAAAGAGCGAAAGACTAGGATTAAGGTTTTAGCAAAGTTGGCTCTTCAAGCATATTTTCAAATAGAAATCGAAAGGAAAAAAACTGGATACTTTTACCTGAAGTGTTGACTCGCCATCTCGTAGCCGCAGTACATACATGAGCGCGGACTCAGCAGCAGCCTTTACTGCGGTATTCTTTTCCTTGCAAGATCCGAGAAGCGCTGGAATTAACATCTTCAGAAGCGCGCTGTCCAATGGTGCAGAGCTCGCGCGCGCCCCGTGCTTTATAGACGCGGACGCTAGCATTTTAATATCGTTTGAGCCATCTTGTAGCATCTAGAAACAAATTGTTAAAATAATGGTTTCACGAGGTGCTAATGTGAAACGCCATGGACACAAATCACGAAATTATGGCTGCGAGTACAGAGGGTCCCCAATAGGGTTCTTCAATTCTATTATCCCGAACCAATCCCGTGATCTCGATCATCTTCAGATGAGGCAAATCCCGGATCCCGAAAAGTTCTATTGGGGACCCTCAGTACAGTTGAAAAACAGGACAGGAGCAGGACAGGCTTGATATGTAAAATTTACGAGGGTAAATGAAATAGAGACAATGTATGAAAGGCCACGCGTAAACGTAAAAGTTGAGCGAGGTTCAACTTTTACGTATGCGCGTGACCTTCCATACATTGTCTCTATTTTATTTATGCGCGTACGCAAGTAAAAATTACGCGACAGTGGAAATCTACCTTAAGGAGCAAGAATTAGCACAGTCGGTTAGTGCGCAGCCTTCTTTGCCTGAAGTTTCACGTTCGATTCTCAGGTGTGACCTTAAATCCTTGTTTCGACTTTTTGCCTTTCCGTATATAGTATTAGTTTAAAATAACCGTAAAACAGAGTGCTGATGGAGAAAGGGGATTAAAAAAGGGAACAGTCGTACTCAAGTTTGACAGATTAAGTACTCTCATGAGTTAACGACGTAAAATAATGATTTTTATTTTTACCGTTACTAAAGGAGAAAGGAACCTACTAATGACTTGAACAATGAATTACTTTTTTGTTTGTATGTATACCTTGAAAAGTGTTTCCAAAACCTGCGGTGGTGGTGACTCGCACTGAACTACTGAGTGCGCGAGAATGTAGCCGAGAGATCGCACGCCGGAACTGCAGATAGGGATCTAGAAAAACAAATACAGTACACATGGATGCAATATTTGTTGAGAAAGCAAACCTAATCAGTCATCTATTATTAACATTCACTTTTCTTTCTCTTCTTTCTGACGTTTCACCAGTCAACTCTCCCCACCGAGGAAACTCCCTCCCAGAGGGACACCCCTATACTGCCACGCCCATCTAACATGGACACAACTATTACTTCTGTAGACTTCTCTGAAAAGCGGTCACTTCTCTCTAAGAGTGGAAATTTCTCGAGGGTAAAAGTTGCTCTAATATGGATACCTCTTTTACAATGGATAACCGTAGAGCGATATGAATCAGTGTCTAATCGTAAAATTCTGCGTAATCGTTCGTTCTTTGGGTTGTTCGTTCGTTCGTTCAATCATTCCCTCCCTTCCTCCCTAACATACTCACTCACCCAAAGTTAACAAAATTTACAAACCAAATGCATATACGGCTGAGATGATGCGTTAACTACCTGAATATAGGACACTTTCAACCAACAAGAGAGAGGCAAAATCAAGGGCGTGTCCTCATCGGTTACCACAAAAACACATCTTGTATTCTTCCTATACTTTCCAAACACGTTAAAAGTGGTGTAACCTTGCATAACTACTTAAGTTGTTTTTCTTTTCTACGAGGCGCCCTCCGCCTTCGTTCAAACTCATTACTCACCCTGTCTGTCATAGCGTGTTCCACGGCGGCGTCAGTAACAACATCATAAAGGCCCTGGGCCACTATTCTCTCCACAGCATCATGTAAGACCGCTGACAGAGCAATAGCGTGACCATGTCTTACGGTCCAATCAACGGTGGGGTCGTTTACTGTGGGAAGTAATGTAATTTATACATTAGCGCCATCTGTTCTGTTTCATTGTTGATCTCTTCTATGATCACTGTTAATTTATACATTAGCTCGCTCTGTTGTATGTTTAACTGTCACGATACCACTGTAGCATTCTGTCCTATGTGTCCCTGTTACGTTATAAACCAGCGCGCTCCGTACTTTGATTCATTGTTTAGTTAAGGACTAGCGCACCGTTCTCTTTTGCTGTTACGTTATACATTAGCACGCTCTGTACTGTGAGCGTTCGTTACGTTAAAACCTAGCTCACTATGTCCTGTGTGCGTCTACTATGTTAGACACTAGCCCTCTATGATCAGTATATATCAGTGTGCGTTCGTTACGTTTTTAACTAGCTCGCTACGTTCTGTGTGCATTCATTATGTTAGAGACAAGCCAGCTCTTTTCTGTGTGCGTTCGTTACGTTATAAACTTGCCCGATATATCCTGTGTCCGTCTGTTACGTTAGACACTATCTCGCACTTTGTGATTGTGGTAATGACGACACTCTGTTGTCTTTGATTGTTTGTGCTAACTGTACTTGTAAACATGTCATACCTATAAGCTGATCACTGATGATAGATTCTAGCTCGGCTTCAGGTACAATGAGAGCTAACGATCCAACGCAGCCTCCAGCTGCCACACGAATGTTATCCTGCAAAACCATTGATAGAATTTAGAGAAAAACTAGCCTATCATTAAACTATTTGAACATTCTACTTAGGAGATCAATCTCTACCTAACTGATAATACCTTTCTATAATTTGCAATAATCGTTATGTTACAAGCTTGAGATAAGAGTTAACTCTGGAGTTTCCTTCGTTTATGGTGCCTCCGTTGCGGAAATTAATGTTAATATTAGATCATTACTACAAATACAAGATAAAGCGATGGTGATAGAGATTGGGGCTTATTAACTTACTTCCCCTGAAAAGTGGGGGCTTATTTGAGGGAGTGGGCTTATTTGAAAGGGGGGGGGGGGGGGGTGTTGAGGGGGGTGTGTGGGGAACACTTTTTTTAAAAAAAGGGTGCAAAAAAATTCCTTTTTTTGTGTTCTTCACAACAAAACGAATATGCCAGTGTTTTGTTTTGTTTTATATATAGTCTATGATCTATCATATTGGGGGGGGGCTTAATAGAGGATTTACGGTATACCATTTTTTATCAATACAGTGGACAATAACTACCTTTTTTGCTGGATCACCAACCTAAGGCATATCACTAGGATTTTATTTGTTGTAAAACATAGAACTTGGACATGTACTTACATCACCATGTCCCAGTAAATCCAGCAGCGTAGTGGTTAGTGTCTTTCTGATTGGATCACCCATCTTTTGACCTGCGCCTGCGATCACACCTCTCAGTGCCTGCAGCAGTGTCTCTCTAAAGAGAAAACGAAATCGTAGGCTATTTAGCGACACCCATTTTCGAACACTCAGTATAAAGATAGAGTTAACGTGTAACGGAATTTGTGTCCCATTTGATAACAATTGGTTGCATTCTGGGGTACAAAAGGCTGCTAGTAATCGACTGGTTTACTCAGATCCGAGACTGAGAATGTATAAATGTATATGGAACATCAAACTATGGCAAGTTTTTTCTCAAGGTTCAAGTATTCCTTTGACTTCGTGCGCGCGCTTTTTGTATACAAAAACAATATAAGTGCTCTGAACTATTTAAAAGTTAAAAAAAGTGAAAAAAATTGGATACGACACTCGAACATCTCTCATAATGCACCTCATTTACCCCACCCCCCGCCAAATTTTGTATACGCATTGTTTTCAATTTCTCTTGGGACAGCTGTAATACCCAGGACAAATGAAAAACAAAGGTTATGCAAAATTTGGCGGAGAAAATAAAGTGCATTATGGGAGATGTACAAGTGGCGTATGGTAAATTTGTACTCAGGTTTTACTCTGTGGAATCTAGTTGAGTACGGACAGTAATTTTGCAGTTGTCTTGGCGTTTCTTAGTGATACTTTGTTATTGGACTGTGCTGTTTGATGATGTCACTCATTTTTAAGACTAATGCCAAGCCCAAGCCCCTGGGAGACTGAGTACGAGTGAGAGTTTTCAAACCAAGTTTATGTGCTGTGCTCTACATGAACGCTTGTCACAGCCATCTTGCACCCTACGTCTCTTTATTCTAGACAGCAACAGAAATGAGTTTAAGCTCTAAGGGCATAACTTTGTGCAAACTCTAAGCCAATTGAGGCATGGAGGGCAAGTGCAATGTAAGGTAGCAACTAGCAAGCGAGAAGGGCAGCAATCTCCTCAGTTGTTAGGAGGTCTCCATTGCAAGTAAACTGTGCTAGTAAAGCAAACGTCAACAAAGCAGAATGCACGTTTAAGCACCCCTAGAATCCCCCAGGATATAAGTGAAACTGCTGACCAACATTGGCTAGATTTTAACCTTACATTTAGCCACCGGATTAAAATTCCAATGTACAGCTCGTACTCGATCCGATACTTGTAGACAAAACTAAAGGTCGTCTATGAGTATATGTTGTACCTAATAGTGTTGTCCTCTGTGTTCTTGACCCCATTGTGTAGTTCCGTAAACAGTGGATCCACACGGGTGTGAAGCTTGATGAGCTTCTGCAGGGCCTTGGCAGCGCACATGCGCACTGCGCGGGTAGGATCGTTCAGTGCCTTGATGAAGGTGGTTTGCAGTTGAGGAAGGAATGGCTTCAACATGGCGCCAACCTGAAACATGGAACACGAATATCACACAGGCCACAAAAGATGCACTTTGCTCCAACTAATTAAGGAAGAAGAGAGCAAAATACAGCCAAAGAATTTGTTTTTTCACGCCAAAATGCCGTTACCCATAACGAGTTTACACTGTTGTTTAATTACCTTGTGGACCCATTGCAGACCTACATCCTAATGCTATGCAATATTAAACTACTCTCTTGGGCAGTTGCTAGAATAGTGACCACGCCCTAGAGCCGTAAACACAAAAGTGACCAAAAAAAGCAAACCAAATGAGAAGTGAAATATTATTACACTGGACATTGAATGGAACTATCGACAACCTCTCTTTTCAAAAGCTTTCAATCGCGCGGCTATGGGTTATGCTAGTAGCCGAGTGAGCTAGAAGAGTAGCATTGCACAAAACATTTGTATCTGGCCATGAGTATGCATAAGACGTTCCTCTTTTGTATCAGCTGAGTCAATTCGATTTTTATACAATAAAAGTTATAATAATCTAAAGCGCTGCAGAAAAGTAAGATTCAACAGTCCATACCTTGCCTAACAAGAGCCCTAAAGTCTGAAGCACAGCCACTTTGACATTCCACGAGAATCTGTCTCCAAGGATACGAATCAGGGGCCCTGTGATGTTCACCACAAAGGGCCTTAGAGCTGCTGCGCTCGTCAAACTTATAACCTCTCCCAGCCCATTAGCAGCTTGCTCCTTCACCTCAGGAGTGCCATTCAGAATACCTTCACGGAAGATTGGTAGAATTGGTGCAATACCCTGGTAATAAAATCAGAAATCATAACAAACAGCAACGCTATACAATCGAATTTGTTCTTGCGACAATTCACAAAGGATTTACGATCATTATTTTTTAGCTTTCTAGAAATTGCTAGCCAGAGAAAACAGCCGATATTTCGCGACATCATCACCCACAAAATGCCCTCTGAGGAACGAGCGCAGAAATTCCATACCGATGAGGCGTCACCACCTAAATCTGGGTAGTGCTTCCGATTGGATGACGCAAATTTTCAGGCAATAGGAAGCACTACCCAGTGACACGTCATCAGTACGGAATTTCTGAGTTCGTTCCTCATAGGTCATTTTGCAGGGAAAACCGGTAGTAGTGTCCCGAAATGTCGTCTGTTTACTCAGGCTTTGAAATTTAAATTATGCTATGTGGCGAAAGGATAACTGAACAAAGGAAAAAAAATACTAACGATTCAAATGTATCGCTGTTTAGCGACAGAATTGAAAATTTGATATCCCTTACTAGAATTACGTGCAATCTCGTGTGCATCCCTTAAATAAGAATGGATCATTATACGTTTCTGGGAAACATCCCCCACCTACCCCTCCCCTAAGTGAGAAGTGTTAATGTTGGCTTAGGGGAGGGGTAGGTGGGCAGTTTCCCAGAAACGTATAATGATCCATAAGAATTTGTAAATCGATCTCTCTTGGGAACACACCTTTTTGGGAAGACAGAATCCTGGCAGATCCCCATCTTTGACGTCATCAGCGACAAACTTGACAGCCTGGCGCAGGTGACTGATGTATTGCAACTGTTCACTGGGTTCCAAATGCTATAAAACAACAAGAGTTAAGGTTGGACTAATCTAAACGAGTCCTTTGAGGCATGACAATCACGTGGGCCAAAAACACCTTGCTGGAGAGCATAAGGTGCAGTGGGGCTAGAAAAACAACACAATTACATCATTTAAAAAGCTTATTTCCGATCTTTCAAGATGCCATGGTGTTGTTTGCTCTCCAGCGAGGTATTTTTGTACCATGAGACTGTTTAGCTGTCCCTAAATTAAATATTGAACTTTGCCGACGTGTACAGTATGGAAACACAAGAAACCAAACGAAGAAGACAGAGAGAAACAGAGTCATAGCAAAACCTGTTAATTTTTTGGTACTGTTTATTTAGTATGTGGTTCCAACTTTTGAGACTGTGGATGAAATGCTATGGTTTTACCATTCAAATGAAACCTCTTCAGTAGTACTTTAACATGGTACTGTTATTTTCTATGTAGTCCTAACTTTTTAGTCTGCGGATGAAATCCTATGGTGTGACCATTCAATTGAAACCTCTTCAGCAGTTCTTTCACATGGTGCTACTTGTTTGTTTGTTTGTTTTTTAGTATCACTATAGTCTCTTTTGGAGACAAAGAGCCACAACCAAACTGTTTTCCTTTAGGGGTTTTAATTCTAATTTTCCCACAAGCGTCTCCGTTCCTGTCATATGATAGCTCCCCCCCCCCACCAGCTTAACTTTTCGTTGGAGAACAACTTGACAAGCACCTTTGTTAGTCTCGCTTACGAAAGCAGCAAGCCGTTCTTTTTCTTCGTATTAAGGACAGAAAAGAGGGGTCATTGGTCATTCAGTTGTTGGCCAACTTGTTTCCCCTGTTCCCAGTAACAGTTCCAGAAGTCTTTGCAAATAGAAACTCTACCCAGTGTCTTAAAGTTGCGAATACCAAAATAAATTATTATCAAGGGAAGGTAAATAACACAGAACCATGATTGTATTTGTTTACCTTGGTCACCGCATTTAAAGCATTCCAACTCATATCAACCACCAGGTCATCAGTGTCATTCATGAGGTGAATAATACCACGAAACAGGGCCGGGATGAACTGGGAATAGTCCACCTTAGTCTCCTCGCAGAAGGAATGCAGGAGGGAGATTGCAGCCTGGAGAAAACAAATGAAATCTATTTAGACTCAAATTCATTGGTCAATTGAATGCCGAAGATCTTTCTAGGTATACTGATGAAATTGCGGACATACTGCTTACGTGAAAGATTAATGGAATAATGGCATGGTAAGTGCCTAAGCACTGTTGAACATTGACCAAAGGAATTCTAAGCTCGAGAAAGATCGCTATTCAGTTTCCAAGCGGTGCGGCAGGTGTGACTGTACCGAATTTCCAAAGCCACAGGATTTCCGCTTTCATAAAATCATTTTAGCTGTTACGTGCTACAAAGTTTTAAAGGTTCACGTGGTTTTATTTTTGTAATAGTGACGACTTTTGCCATATTATTACACTTGTTCATTTCTAGATAGTCGTGAGATTTTAATCTCGTATCCAGATCCCACTCTATCTTACGCTAACCGTGGGAGGTCTGGGTACCAAATGACGTAAATTTTAAAGTCGCGTTAAAACAGAAAGCAAGTTCCTCACCCTTCGCATGCCAGGAGCTGGGTTTTTAGACGCTGCCATCAGCTCGTCCATAATGGTCCTGATTCCCACATCATCATGCACCGAGAGCACCAGACTTGACGCCCCTTCAAGCTCCTGTACAACAGCAACAAAACTAAACTGTTTACAGTCCCCTCTGTTTCCGTTAGATCGTTGAGGTTACGGAAAGATAGGAGACTGTGGACAGTCTACAACAAAACATGACACTTCACAAATCAGTTCTTTCATCCTTTTCCACTGCCTCGAACCCAAGCGCTTCTTAGGATTTTCAACGGTAGGTGCGGCACAAGGATCATGGGAAAGTTTCAAAAACGCAAAGGCACAAGGGAAGGCTCAGTGTGACCATGATACCTTGCGCCGCGACTTCTGCAGAAAATCCCAAGAAGCGCGTGGGTACGAAGCAGCCAGTTCATATGGGAGCTGGGAGCTCATGGCAAAGAAGCTGATGAGTAACGGATTCAGTTATGATAAAGATATCTTTGCTAACGTGCCTAGCTTTGGAAAATTTCAAGCAAGGCTGCTAGAGTTACACACTAAAGAATCATAAGCGTTCTTATAAAAATCGATGGATAATTTAGTCGGTTTACCTCGCATTCTTTCCTTAAACGTAAACATTGCTACCTGTATCAAGGGAATACAAAGGTTGCTGACTTTCAACCAAAAAACCTTGCTTAGTTACCACACTTAGCGCGAGCGAAATGTGACAATTAAGTCGCTTACCATTGGTCAGAAATGGCCGGCTAGACCAGCCCAGTCATAAACAGAATTCCACCACTAATCAATCAGGACTGTCCAGCCTGCAGATCAGTCTACAGCTATTTCAAGAAAGGTTGTCGAAAAAAGTGCACGCGACAATCCCGAAAGGTATTGTTTGTAGTTTGAGTTCACTGTTCTTCAAAGAAATCTAAAAGAATGGCACGAGACGCCATGGATGTATGATGTTTGCGAGTGCTAAAGAAAAGCAACAAAAGCAGGTTCGACAACTACAGTGTCAGAAACAGTGTAGTGATCATATCCCATATTACCTTTCGGGATTGTCGTGCACACATTTTTCCGACAACCTTTCTCGAAATAGCTGTATGCGACAGTGATGAGTCTTCAGCGAGAACACTCGAAAATAGCTCATTTTACTTTTTTTTAAATTACCGGATTTGTCGGCCAGTTTTGATCTTCCTAAGGCATGGACATCATAGAGGAGACTTGGACGTGTTCTTTGGTGATTGATTCAAGTACATTTGGGCCACGCGCGACCACGTGCGCACGTGTTAACATACCTCTTTCTCGTGTTCAGTTCCAAAGCATCCTTGGATTGCCTTCAGCATGGCTGGTAGGATCTTACTCAAATGACGGGTCAGAGCATCACCAGCGACTGCAGACAGTATGGCCAGCGCGCGTGTGTTAACAGGCGGTGTTATAAGCTAAAAGAAAGATAGATATACTAGATATATTACCTTGGATAAGGAAGGCAAAAGATGAATTTAAATGGCTATAACTCATAACAATAATGTGCTTCTGATAAGAATATATTTGAAAATACATTTTGAGAAAAAAACACAAAGAGAAAAACTCTTTAACGTTTCGATGACTTCATGCCATCATTATCAAAAGGTAAGAAATTAATAACACGTAATTAACTGTTGTTTGTGGCGGTCGGTAAACCATGAGTAAACCATGTGTGAAACCCGTTAGTCAAACGACTTATAACAGGTTTGCGAAACCACCTAACACGTAAGCGAAACGACTTAAGACGTTAGGGAAGAGGACAAAAAAAAAAAAATAGCCTTTATTTAAAGAGGGTAGCACTTAATAGCCAAAGGCTAATAAACTTGTGGCCCTCATATATTTTACGTCTCCTAATGGAGACGGGACCGCCATTTTACGTGGTCATCCGAGCCACGCGAAGGTCCAGCCGCCTGCAGGGCAAAGGAAGTACCTTCATTTCTCAGTTATTTTTAAGACCCTGAGTATTGGTCCGGCCCCGGGAATCGAACCCGCGACCTCCCGCTCTGCAGTCAAGCGCTCTACCGACTGAGCTAATCCTGTCGCGGTCAAAGGACGGTCGAGGACGGACGTGAAACGACTCTTAAGCAAAACGACCGGTCGCCTCACTTTTTTGATGCGTCATCAATCTATCACCTGCCGCTACTGGCTACCGCGCTATTCATATCGACAGTAAAAACACAAAATTTTCAACTGGACGATGCGTCTACCCACCTACCTCTCCCCTAAGCCAACATTTTGCCCTAAGTGAGAAGCAAGTGTTAATGTTGGCTTAGGGGAGGGGTAGGTGGATAGTTTCCCAGAAACGTATAGATTTGTCTGGTTTCAAAAAGCTCTCTCCTACTCTAGGAAGCAAATAGAACCCAGGGGCAGGCCTTCCTCTTTCAAGTTTATTCAAGTATAATTATATTCAAATCTTTGTGATGCACCTTGTAACATCTGCCTTAGATACCACGGGGAGAGAATAATTGCCTTGTCCCTTTTTTGTAGAACTAAATAAAATAACATTTCAGATCAAACAAAGAGATGACGAAAAGAAACTAGAAATTACTTGGTCTACTTTCCAAAGGAGGTAGAAGAAATGAGGAAAAAGCTGTACCCAGTACTAAAAGCCGCCAAGCAAGAAAAGGGTACATCATTTTTCAAGGTAGAAAGGCTAATTATAGATGGGTCGCTTTACCGCGGCCCAGAGACAATTGCTTTCCCTCTCTACGGAGATTTAATGGACGTATAAATTAGCTCAGAACTTTTATGTTATTATTCACGGCCATATTTTAGGGGCCAGTAGTGTGCTTTACAAACCAAATTAGCTCGATGCGCGGTCAGTCAACCCCGCTCAAATTCAGAGGTAAGTCATGGAGTTTTTGTTCGTACGTTTCGTGTTTTTGTTTTCTTTTTTGTTTCGTCTTAATTTTTGCGCAGTCAATTTTGCTTCCCTTCCCTAAAGGGGAAAGCGATCCAGGCCATATAAATTTATACTTTTGTCTATGGATTGTCTAGAAAAATATATTTCTTGTACGACTGGTCGCGAAAAAGATTTCAGAACAAAATGGTCTGGATGGTCTCGCAATGGATGTTGTTTCATCTCTTTTAAATACGGTATGAAATTCTTTTTGCTTAACTGATCGCGCTCCCATTTAATTTTAGTTACCACTAATGTTTTTATTCTGTTAGGTTTCTTTTTTGTCAGCTTCAAGTTGTAGTTTTCGTTTTGTTGCAGATTGTCTTTCGTGAATGTTAACTGTACGTGTGTACGTTCAAAGTTGTATTGGAAAAGAGAAAAAAAGAAAAAAAAAAAGAAATTACTTAGTCAATACGGGCAATAATTTACAGTTGTGTCGGAGCTGCTCAGGTGGTCCAATAATTAGAACAACCGCATTAAACAAACTCTGAAACTACATCTGGAAGCGGCCGAGTTCACGATAATTTCAATTCGCTTGAGTTCCAAGTATGGCCGTGCTTTCAGCTACACCTTGAGAGTTTGCGTCCACAATACCTCGTTTTGGAAAATCGTTTTTGGGAGTTCTATTTTGTTTACGTTCTTTACTATGACCGAAGCAGAAAGTTGGCACTCTACTCTTGTCGTCAACTGTGTCTTTAACGGTTTCCTGTCTTATACCGCCATCGCGTTTAACATCATAACAATACAAGCGTTAAGGAAAACGACGTCGCTGTCGAAGCCTTTAAAGACATTGTTTCGAAGCCTGGCTGTATCTGATCTTTGTATTGGCTTGGTTGTACAGCCCCTGTATATCGCAGTTGCCGTGATGGAAATGGAACAAAACACTCACAGTCGTGTTTATAGCATAGTATCACTCGCGTTCTACATTCACGTGAATTTACTTTGTGGTGCATCGTTCTTTGGTGTTGTATCTTTAACTGTTGACAGATTCTTGGCTATTTATCTTCATCTTAGATAACAAGAACTTGTGACTCACAAGCGTGTTGTTGCTATGGTCATTTCGACATGGCTGTTCAGCGCATCTTTTTCCGTATTTGACGAAACTTTGGACTGGATTCCTAGGAAGGTTCCTTACATTATATTTTCAATCTTTAACACTATTGGAATAACAACTACAGGATTGCTCTACTGCAAGATATACACAGCCGTTCGACGACACACAAATCAAATGTACCACTTGCAAGTCACAGCAGCACAGAGTGAAGAAATGGCGAATGCAGCAAGGCTCAGAAAAAGTGCTGTCACTAGCTTCTTCGTCTACGTCGTGTTTTTGGTTTGTTATTTACCAATATCCTGTGTTCGCCTTGCCATTATGATCTGTGGTGAAACTTTGTCAATCCACCACTTGTGGAATTATGGTCTAACATTGATGTTTCTCAACTCATCTCTTAATCCTTTGATCTACAGTTGGAAGATGAGACACATTCGGCGAGCTATCTTAACCATACTTCAAAACATCTTAACTGACGAGAGGCTAACAATTTTCGGGTCATGAATTTTGGAACCTGGTCACTGAATACTGAGAAGAACTTAGAATTTTTGGAAAGAATAAAGGAAGTACCTTCATTTCTCAGTTATTTTTAAGACCCTGAGTATTGGTCCGGCCCCGGGAATCGAACCCGCGACCTCCCGCTCTGCAGTCAAGCGCTCTACCGACTGAGCTAATCCTGTCGCGGTCAAAGGACGGTCGAGGACGGACGTGAAACGACTCTTAAGCAAAACGACCGGTCGCCTCACTTTTTTGATGCGTCATCAATCTATCACCTGCCGCTACTGGCTACCGCGCTATTCATATCGACAGTAAAAACACAAAATTTTCAACTGGACGATGCGTCTACCCACCTACCTCTCCCCTAAGCCAACATTTTGCCCTAAGTGAGAAGCAAGTGTTAATGTTGGCTTAGGGGAGGGGTAGGTGGATAGTTTCCCAGAAACACATAGATTTGTCTGGTTTCAAAAAGCTCTCTCCTACTCTAGGAAGCAAATAGAACCCAGGGGCAGGCCTTCCTCTTTCAAGTTTATTCAAGTATAATTATATTCAAATCTTTGTGATGCACCTTGTAACATCTGCCTTAGATACCACGGGGAGAGAATAATTGCCTTGTCCCTTTTTTGTAGAACTAAATAAAATAACATTTCAGATCAAACAAAGAGATGACGAAAAGAAACTAGAAATTACTTGGTCTACTTTCCAAAGGAGGTAGAAGAAATGAGGAAAAAGCTGTACCCAGTACTAAAAGCCGCCAAGCAAGAAAAGGGTACATCATTTTTCAAGGTAGAAAGGCTAATTATAGATGGGTCGCTTTACCGCGGCCCAGAGACAATTGCTTTCCCTCTCTACGGAGATTTAATGGACGTATAAATTAGCTCAGAACTTTTATGTTATTATTCACGGCCATATTTTAGGGGCCAGTAGTGTGCTTTACAAACCAAATTAGCTCGATGCGCGGTCAGTCAACCCCGCTCAAATTCAGAGGTAAGTCATGGAGTTTTTGTTCGTACGTTTCGTGTTTTTGTTTTCTTTTTTGTTTCGTCTTAATTTTTGCGCAGTCAATTTTGCTTCCCTTCCCTAAAGGGGAAAGCGATCCAGGCCATATAAATTTATACTTTTGTCTATGGATTGTCTAGAAAAATATATTTCTTGTACGACTGGTCGCGAAAAAGATTTCAGAACAAAATGGTCTGGATGGTCTCGCAATGGATGTTGTTTCATCTCTTTTAAATACGGTATGAAATTCTTTTTGCTTAACTGATCGCGCTCCCATTTAATTTTAGTTACCACTAATGTTTTTATTCTGTTAGGTTTCTTTTTTGTCAGCTTCAAGTTGTAGTTTTCGTTTTGTTGCAGATTGTCTTTCGTGAATGTTAACTGTACGTGTGTACGTTCAAAGTTGTATTGGAAAAGAGAAAAAAAGAAAAAAAAAAAGAAATTACTTAGTCAATACGGGCAATAATTTACAGTTGTGTCGGAGCTGCTCAGGTGGTCCAATAATTAGAACAACCGCATTAAACAAACTCTGAAACTACATCTGGAAGCGGCCGAGTTCACGATAATTTCAATTCGCTTGAGTTCCAAGTATGGCCGTGCTTTCAGCTACACCTTGAGAGTTTGCGTCCACAATACCTCGTTTTGGAAAATCGTTTTTGGGAGTTCTATTTTGTTTACGTTCTTTACTATGACCGAAGCAGAAAGTTGGCACTCTACTCTTGTCGTCAACTGTGTCTTTAACGGTTTCCTGTCTTATACCGCCATCGCGTTTAACATCATAACAATACAAGCGTTAAGGAAAACGACGTCGCTGTCGAAGCCTTTAAAGACATTGTTTCGAAGCCTGGCTGTATCTGATCTTTGTATTGGCTTGGTTGTACAGCCCCTGTATATCGCAGTTGCCGTGATGGAAATGGAACAAAACACTCACAGTCGTGTTTATAGCATAGTATCACTCGCGTTCTACATTCACGTGAATTTACTTTGTGGTGCATCGTTCTTTGGTGTTGTATCTTTAACTGTTGACAGATTCTTGGCTATTTATCTTCATCTTAGATAACAAGAACTTGTGACTCACAAGCGTGTTGTTGCTATGGTCATTTCGACATGGCTGTTCAGCGCATCTTTTTCCGTATTTGACGAAACTTTGGACTGGATTCCTAGGAAGGTTCCTTACATTATATTTTCAATCTTTAACACTATTGGAATAACAACTACAGGATTGCTCTACTGCAAGATATACACAGCCGTTCGACGACACACAAATCAAATGTACCACTTGCAAGTCACAGCAGCACAGAGTGAAGAAATGGCGAATGCAGCAAGGCTCAGAAAAAGTGCTGTCACTAGCTTCTTCGTCTACGTCGTGTTTTTGGTTTGTTATTTACCAATATCCTGTGTTCGCCTTGCCATTATGATCTGTGGTGAAACTTTGTCAATCCACCACTTGTGGAATTATGGTCTAACATTGATGTTTCTCAACTCATCTCTTAATCCTTTGATCTACAGTTGGAAGATGAGACACATTCGGCGAGCTATCTTAACCATACTTCAAAACATCTTAACTGACGAGAGGCTAACAATTTTCGGGTCATGAATTTTGGAACCTGGTCACTGAATACTGAGAAGAACTTAGAATTTTTGGAAAGAATTTTTCAGACCCCTCTTTAATATTTCACAAAGATTGACTTTTAAGACCTTACTTATCCACGGACAGGAACTCTTAAGCAACAAGAAATATCAGTCGACTCGCTTGACAAAACTACGTCACGAGTTTGTTCGGGAGAACTGCGAGTAATTCTGTTTACTAACTACCAGCATCACCTAGCACAATTCTTTTTCCTAGTGGCTGAAAACACTTATTGTGATGCGGGCGGACCTCTATGAACATTTCTAGAGAAACATGGACCACCTTAATGGAGTTGAGAAGAAAGCGGTACATTTACAGGCTGATAACTAACCATTCATGGGCGCTTTCCATATCATGCCGACATGAAATTACTTTGATTACTCAGTATAAAGCTATGTTTCCGCCACTATGCCATAAAGCTTTGCGCGCCGACACGAAAAGCTCTCTGATATAGAGTGTTTTCACATGAGGTCACGGCGGCCATATTGGTGTCCCAAAACAATGAAACGGCGGCCATGTTGGTGTCCCAAACCAATCCTGTGGGAGTTGAACTCTTTTCTTATGCAAACGCTTTCTTTTGTTCCAATAATTTGCATAGATGCTGGCCACGTGAGTGAAAACGCTCTACAGTATGAACAGCAACGGCACAAAACTGGAACAAGTCGTTCACACATGGTGCCGGAGTGGGTAGCCGAGAGGATCTGGTGAACCTAGATTCCAGTCCTCACTCCTGAATATTTAGTCTCGTTTAAATTAGTTCCAGACCTCGCTTCTTATTAGAGAGCTTAAGATTTGAGGACAAGAACGACTACGAGTACGAGATTTAACTTAAGTTTTTTACGCGTGTGCTCAAGAGGAGACACCCCGAAAAGCTTCCATTTTCCTTTTTTTCACCAAAAAAGTTAGTACGGTTAATTAAACAGAAGGACGTTAAGCCCTCTCCCGATAGCAAAATGATAAAACTTCTTACATTTGAAAACTTGTTCCCGCCACTACGACATTCTCGCCAAAACTCGAAGTAGGCTACCACATTTTCCCGCCAAAATGACGCTGGCCCACGCGCGCGCACTACTTAGTACAGAGAAAATCTCGTACTCGTAGTCGTACTCGTCTCAGAATCTAAAGCTCTCCATTATTCACTTCCGCTACGGTCCGAAAACCTGTTCATACCGCACCAAAGTGAGGCACAGAATCTATCCGATAAGTGACGCTCCACTTTGGAGATCGGCGCAGCGCAACTTTGCCCCGTTACATTAATTGCACTGAGATCACCTTTCTTTGTCTGTGTGAACAGAAGCTTTATCCGGTACGGTTTTTTGTGCCAGCGCAAAAGCTATCTCCTATAGTACGAACATAACCTGAAGATGCTCTTATAGTTCATACAATGCATCTTTTTAAAACAAAAGAAGCAAGGCTGATTTTACAGTCCGGAATATATATATATATCTTTTTTTACCAATATTTCGGAACGCACGGCCTTCCTTCCTCAGAGTCTTACAAAGCTTTAATATTAAACAAAAGAAGCAAGGCTGATTTTACAGTCCGGAATATATATATATAATTTTACTAATATTTCGGAAGGCACGGTCTTCAGGGTCTTACATATAACGAAGAGGTTAAGATAAGACGTTACAATTTGAAATAAAGAGTAGCGTGCAATATGATACTATAATAACACGTGAAAATTTAAATGAGAAAAAAGTGAACCTTGAAAAGTAGTGATTGGAAAGAAATTTGAAATGTAAAAATATAAGTCGAATCTTTTTAAGTATATTTATCTTAATTCAAACTGCTGCTTTAAAGCAACTTACCTGGGGTACCAAGAAAGGAAGTACAACTCTGCTCTTCACAGCCATCACTTGTCTCAGGCCATCCAGCGCATACTCAGACAAGGCCGGGTCATCCTGAAATATCACCAAAAATATGAATCCGTTTACGACTCCAAGCCTATTAAAGCATTAACCAGCATCCCCCTCCTAGCACCCCGCCCTCGCCAGTTCGACAGTTGTGCATGTAGTTCTCTTAAAGCAATAAGGACGGTGTAAAATACTTACGACACCTTGATACAGTAATCGTACAAGGCGTACAATTTGGTAAAAGAAAAAACCTAAGCGATACCAATCCAAAAATCTCACCCCTTTAAAGATTTGGCAAGTAATTACGTCATGTTTCTGTCCCTCTTCAGGGCGTGTCATTTGTTAGGTATTACCTCATTAAACTAACCCAAGACGACCTTTCGTAGCTTCTATACACTAAACTAACGGGCAAGGTAAAAGTGGAAAAAGCGAGAAAAAGGTTACCATTTTCTGAAGCAGATCTGGCAGGATATCGTCCAAGGCTTTGGTCCCAATCGTGTTGTGGAGTTGATCAAAAGTTTTGGCTGCTGCAACTCGCACCTCCGGCAAAGGATCTATGAGGGCTCTACGGACTGTGGGAACTAGTGAATCCACATACTGTACAACCTACAGTAGACAAGCGACAGGATATATTACTGGTAGTAACTAAAAATACGTGTATCGCAGAACCTCGCGGAGTTCGGGGATGGTGGAGGGAGCCCAAAAAATGTCAGGGATGGAAGGGGGGAGAGAACTGGAGTTAATTGTGTAACTGGAGAGGGCGGGTTTCAACAATGGCTCTAATGTTGGAAGGTGAGATGTAGTTAATCTCCTTTTAGTTGGAGTAAATTTGAGCGAGTTTTCCCATTTTCCTGACTGATAAACTCGTGAAAAAGCAAAAGGGCCTGAGAACGGGGTCGCAGTCGGTGCCTCAACTAACTCGATTTCGCCTGCCTGCAAAAGCCATGGAAACATTAGGATGCATTCTCCTCCCACGAATGCCACACACAAATGAGGAAGAGTGTGATGTCGTCATACATGACGATCAGAGGCAAGCAAAACTGGTTTGGGGCCGCGCAAACTAATAAGAAAATCACAGGTTATAAAAAGGAGAAACGGGACGGTGAGGAGAAGGCTGAATAAGCATTATGTTTACATCTCAAATCGATCAATCTAAATCGAATCAGTGAGGAAAAGCTGAGCCTTGAAAACGGTTTACCTGTTCTTTGCTGGTCGAGGAGACAATTTCACTGAGTCCAATACAGACTCCCTGCCTCTCATCACTTTTATCACTGTCCAGACCTCGCTCCAGTATTGGGATAATCTCTGGCAAAACTCTCTCGCCCAGTTTACGAACAAGGTCCCCTAGAGTTCGAGCTGCAACCTGAAAGAATGCGAACAAAGTCAGAGAATTAATTTCTATTGCCAGTATTGTTGTATCAAATTATAAAGGAAAGAGATGGGTTGGAAACTGTTGTAAGCTCAATTCGTACGTCGGACTCAGCCAACGACGCAATACGCGTCTTGGTGCGAAGTAGATGCGGAATTCGCAGGTACACTGATTGCTGCTACTGTATATTTACAGCATTAGCAGTAATGTTATTTAGTTGGTGCAATTCACGTATGCTCAAGGAAGATCTTATTAATATGAATTTTTGTAGTCTATGATATTAAGTTTGTCAGGACATCATGTCGACCACCGTTAAGTTATGGTCGGACATTGGGCGACTTAAGTCCGACATTGTGTAATCACCAATGGTTATTTGCAGCTCAGAGGTGCTAGTGATAACAAATCATACTGCTAATCAGAATTCCTTACTTGTCTCTTATCAAAGCTGGTGCTAGCTAGACAGCCAAGCAGGAGAGAAAACAGAGTTGGCAGGATTTCTCTCAGGATACGCGGTGTGTTAGGGACCACAACCTTCCACACGTGCAAGGCCGCCTGGCGCACCATCAGGGATACATCAGAGCGGCCCATGTAGAGCCCGGCCAGTACACGATTACGACGGTCAGTACCCAGTGCTTCAATAATGGCCTGTGAGTAGAACAAATATGAAAAACCTCAGCACTACAAACTTCTCTAGTAGTGGAAGTTGTTACGATGCCAGAGACCCCATTTGCATAACGACATTATGAACGCCAACAGTTTAAAGATGGCGTCTTGCTAAGCAATTTTCCGAGTTTCTCACTAGCAGTGCGAGCACGAAAATAATTCCACAGCATCAAAAATAAAGAAAAACGAAAAACCCTTACTTTAATGCATCGAAAAACGTTGTGAGGGTCAAGTACTAGGTTCTCCTATGGTTGCAGCGACTTCTTGAACCCAAAGCTAATTCTCAACCCCGGGTATGGTATATTGGGGGAGTATCTGCCTAGTCTCCAATCTCTGGCGACCGCCTGTCTAGGAATGTTACATAAAATTTATGACGGCGAGGGGAGGGACAGGAAGGGGAGAATAGGAGAAGCTCCTTTTCCCTTTCTCTATCTTTCCTTACCATCACCACCCACTCGAGTTCCGCGCCAGTACCTCGCATTGAAGTCCATTACCCTCGCTTAACCTTGGAAGAGCCCGTGGAAAAGGCAGATTATTATGCATACAGCAGATCATTATGAAACAAACGTATTACGACTTTTTTCATTTATTACCTGGTTAGACTGACTAGTTCCAAAGTTATCATCTTCTTGTCCCTCGGTTGACATCTTCCCTGTGACACCAGATATTCTGTAGAGCAGATCACCCAACAGTTGAACAGAGCTGTGTCGTATTCTCCAGTTATCATCAAACAATCCTGTTTCCAACTGAGGAAGGAACAATTCAATGGCGGTGTCTGCGTACAGGTTCACGATGCGTTGACCAGCCTTTAGTGACGTATCTCGAACGTATTCTGATTCATCTGCCAGGCCCTGAGAGACAAGACAAAGGTAAAGTTGATGAACGATTAAACAACACTCGTCATTAATTAATGTTACTAAGGCACCTACTATGCTCTAAGTGTCCACCTAAGATTGATGTCCGTCTTACAGGCAGTGAAATAAAAGGAGTAAAGAAAGGCAGGGACCGACACAAGGTGTCCGTTTATACCTTGGTGTCTGTCTTGTAGAAGTGTCCGTTTAGAGAGAGTCGACTGTATTTTCAGTGCGGTCCGACGTAAGTAAAGAAAGTGCTTCAGCAGAGTGTGGCTCTTAGCCCTTTATGAACCTAAGTAAGTCACTGTTACCCGCCCACCCCTTGGTATGTTAAATAAAGGTATTGTGATAGACGCAAATGGGAGTTATTGCCAAGGGTAAACCTGTGTAAATGGCCAGACCTGTTCAAGGTTCCCAATAAACGTCCAAAGCACCATTGAAGGGGGTTGGGATCAAGCAAGGATTAGGCTAGCAAAGGACCGTGTTAGGACTAAAAGGCCTAACCCCAACCCTACTAGATCGGCCGCTTTAGGCTCTAGATGGAAGTCCAGACTAATAACAGGGGTTTGGGTTTATTTAGGTGACTTTCAAAATTGATCCAAAATTTAGGTTTCTGGGAAACTGTCCACCTACCCCTCCCCTAAGCTAATTTCACAAAGATTAGAAAGAATCAGGGAACAACAATGGATTTAATAGTCTTCGTCAGAGATTACCTTAAACGATTCACTTACTTTGCAACGTACACCTAAGGGGAATCAAAGATATTATAGCCTTCGAGCAAGCTCTACTTTTGGGGGATATCGTAAGAAATAACGCACGAGAAGCACGCAAAATAAGAGATGGGAGCGAGGGGCGGGCAAAGAGGCCACAGCCTCTCGTGGGTTTGCTACTCACTCGCGAGTTCTCTCGTCGTTCGCTTCGCTCCCCACATCAAACGGAGAGCTTTCTCGAAGTCTACAGATAGTAGAGACCTTAAGGTGTTGTTACACGGAACGATTCGCAGCAACGATTGTTAGCGCAACGCAACGTTGCAACATTGTTTCGAATGGTTGCAACATTGCTCCTATATTGCTGTGTTGCGCTAAAAATCGTCGTTGCGAATCGTTCCGTGTAATATCACCTTTAGGCAACGAGAACGCTGACGTCCCGGGCGTCACAAATGGCAACCAGAAGTTCAAATTTTCTCTTTAAAACAAAGGCATTCAGATTCGTTGTGTGAGTCAGAAGCGTTCCACTAAGTGACACATCGAACGTCGCTATTCATGACGTCCGGGACGTCAACGTTTTTGTTGCTTAGGCTCGCTATTACAAAACGGAAAACCCGCCAGAAAACTCAAAGTTTGTCACAGAGTAACTAAGTCTCACCTTAAGCACAGAGGGTATCACAGGTCCGACCCATGGGATGAAATCATCTTTAAATGTTGAGGGCAGGTAGATATATAACATCAGATAGCCTTCTCTGACATGTGATGCGAGCTCAGTACGTTCTGTAGTAGAAATCACTTCTGGCATAAGCGTTTCCAGCCTGCTCGTGCCCAGGGCACACAGAACTTCACCTAGACCTGATGAAACAAAAGCCAGTTAGATTTTATATATTCTAGTTGTAAGTGAACGTCTTTCGATTAACTATACTTGCTTTAGTTTTGTGTTTCTGCGCGTTGCAATTGGCTAAAAAGTTTCGCGCCATTATTTCATCCAATCAGAAATTAAACGGAGATTTGTCTCGTACGCGTTTCCAGCGCTTTACGCAAACTGCAGGAATTAACTTCCGGTTCTGATTACAGATTCATTTGACTTACTTCGTATGTGTTAACTGCACAAAGTTGGTGCTTTCAATTTCTTTTTACCACAGACAAACAACATTGCTAACATTTTTTTAGATAGCAATAAAAATACGAAAAAAACATGGCCATAGTTTTGAGTTTCTATTTCTTTTTCATTAGTATAAAAATCCACGAAGTCACCTTTTGCAAAATAAGGCAAAAGCCAACTCTTTCTAAGAGAAGACACCGTTGGTACCATCAGCAAAAGTTCGCCTTTCCGTCTCAGAGAACGGACTGCTTTGCAAAGAGTTTAAAGAACCAAAATAGAACGGATTGAAGATTGATAGGGACTCTAGGTATCTGATTTACGGAGGTTTCCGTTTAATGGAAGTGTTCTTTAAGAAAGAGGTGATTCTATTTCCCAAGCATATACATCCATCACAAGCGTATTACGCCACATAACAGAGGATGGTAAATCTACGGAACAGTATGTCCGATGTCAGGAAAAAAATGAGTTCTTTACCATGTACATACCTTGGGCAGCTCCTGATCGATCCACGCTGCTGTTTTCTGACGTCAGCGTCTCCATTAACCACGGTAATAAATCTTCAAAGCTCTCCTCACCCATACCGCGGACCAAAGCACCGAGGGCGCGAGAAGAGACTGCACGGACCTGATAAAAAAAAGCAAAGGAAAAGATTGGGCAGTGTCACAAACGACAGGAGACACAGATAACTGAGATTAACAAGTTTTTTGCAGCATAAACCACACCACCACTACCACCACCACCACAACTATCATCATTATCATCAACATCATCATCATCTTCACCACCACGATCAATATCATCATGGTCATGATCATGATCATTGTAATACCAACAATGCAAGAAAAAATGATAAACAAATGTCTTTGCGATCATCACCACCAACACCATCATTATAGTCATTACCATAATCATCACAAAGGAGCACTGTCGATAGGCGATATGGTTAAAAACAGAATAAAGACCAGGTCATCATCGCCACCATCAAAGAACGTAAGACTGAAAAAGAATACACGACCGTCATTATCATCATCATCACCATAATCATTATCATATCCACAAACAAATCTTTTTGTACCTCTGGTACTGGATCCAACAGGGCCTGTTTTAATCCTGGCACAACTGATCCTACATAAGGTGCAAGGTCCTAAAACAAGATTAAATTAATACTTCAAAGATAAATAACTGGAAATACTACAGACTGCAAACAACAAAAAGAAGAACATTATGTGTTTCAGAAATGGGTTGACCAAGTCCCGAGCTAAAAATGTTTTCTTAGATCAGGTTCGATCGCAATTTTCTTAATTGTACACGTCACTGCAAGGACCGAAAAACTTCTTTTTTTTCCACATGTAACTTATATGGTATTGTGTTTTGACAGTCATCTCGTGTATAATACCTTTTTGTCCGTAAGGGAGTACATGTTACCAATGATCTGAGCCGCCATTTTCTTGGTCTCCGTTGAACGTTCGCTGAGCGCGCGTTGCAGGACGGGCATGATCAGAGCTAAGGAAGGAGCGTCGATGAAGTGGACAAAAGAGGTTTGCAGTAGAACCTGCAAACAAGGGGCTGTCTTGGTAGAAGGATCCATGAGCGCTTCAAGGAGCACCGAGGATATGGCTAAAACAGAATAAGA